ACGATGACCGTTTACGGAGATTTTTCACGGTCCTCGTTTACGACGATCGTATTTCATCGTATAACTTCGTTTACGGCAACAGTAAACGACTACAAAATACGGTCGCCGTTTTTCACCGTGAATGATAGGTATACGGCCGTTTACGGCTCAGGTTAATCGACCTGGGTGTATTTAATCAATATTAATCAGTTATATGTGAAAGAAGAACAACCACTGAGTAAGATGAAAAACAATATCAGTGTCTCATGCATGCACTGCAGACAATCATACATATAAGAAATATTATTTGAAAAAAGTTATGTGAAAAAAATATCTAATAGTTTTTGTACGTGTTGAGCGTTGTTTCCATGATATTTTTGATTCATCCACCACCAGTGATTCACCTTGCATATTCGATCGTGTACTATAATTAAGGTAGATAAATAGAGTTTATATATATAGTGCAACACGAAAATATACCTTCAAAGGTCTGCAAGCGTTGAGCAACTACTTGCTCTGATGCTCGTCGGGCAAATAATTTAAAAATATCCTATAAGCGATTTAAGTTACAATTCAAATTATTAAATAAAAAAATATTGTACTTTATTAGCAAATCGAGCATAATATTTTGTGAAATTAAATCGAATCGCATCAACAACTTTCTTTGAAGGTACTGGATGATATTGCATTTCAGAAGGTGGAATGTCATCAGGGTGACGTATTGGAGCAGCGGTTATATTATAATGGCGATACCGAACAAGAGATATTTCTTTAATTGACTTAGCTGCTCGAAGAGCATAGTATGTATCCTCTTCTTTTCGGAAAAACAAATAAAATACTGCATTACCAGTTTTCGTCGGTACCCGACGAAATTTATAATATTTCAACTGCTGTTGAAGCATACCACTGAGAGCACTATTAGTAATATCGAAGTTAGAACAATTATTTAGTACAAGTCGACATTCCATTCTAGCGAATACATTGATAAAAAAATAGTACAATAAATCTTCATTAATGCATGCAATTATATCTATATACTTTAATACATATGTCAAATTCCTTCCTTCAAAAAATAAATACATATCTCATCTTCATAATCTATTTACAGTTATTCTATTTGATTTGATAACAAAATTGATTTGTTTAGAAAATCTCTCGTTATTAGAGTTATAGTTATTAACTAGAACTATAGTTACTTTTGCTATTTTCAGTTATATGTACTAGGTGTTGAATCTCTTAAAACGATTCATTTATTTTGAACAATATTCTATTAGCTCTGATTGATCATTTCTACTACATTTCATCTATTCTTGATAGTTACCGCTTCTCACATCTTCCTATTCGCTACTTTTCGAGTGCTTTCTATTTCGTTATTATCTATAATGAATTAACGCTGTTTGATCTTATATGTGATCTGTTTTCTCGATTAGACGATAATTGATTACATATTTCATTTCAGATAATAATTTAGTGTGATTGTTGTTTATCATGGTGAAATTATTTAAAGCAGTTAGTGCCTGAAAAGGCTAGTTGCCCGCAACGGATCAGTTACTTACATTTAATTGAGAATATATTGCTGTATTAGTGATCGTCAAATTGAAGATGTTTACCAGCTAAAATATTAAATTATATTCAAAAGAAAAGCTATTTATAGTTAGAAACAATACTTGTAAGGCTTATGATGTGAGAAGAATGTCAGTGTATGACAAAAGTGATTGTTTTGAGCTTGTACGACCAACAGGAATTGTAACGTTCAGCCAATATGACCAATGTCGTTATAAATTTCTTGAGAGAAGTGACTCTATTTATACTTGAGCTCGATCTTATCAGTAATGACTATTTCTTCACCTTTTCTGGAAAGAAATTAGGGAGCAATTAGTTATCTTGATGAGCAAAATTAGCTTTTCAACAATGTCTTCTCCTTGAAGTCACTCATCTGCGCGTTGAAAAGACACTATCAAAAAATAAGTAATAAAGACAAATTAAACTATCTTCTAATTGATCGATTATCTTTATCAATATTTCATTCAGAGAAGGTTTCAGAACTAGAGTTTCTATGGTAAGATCTTTTTTTATATTTCAATATAATGTGCACAAAAGACCAATTAGAATCTTCTGATACACTGACACAGTTATTTAAAAAAATATATGTTGATGTCTATTTTTCATACAGATTTTTTCATGTCTTTTTGTATAAAAGAATAGAAAAAAAAGATGATTCTATGTTTGAAGAAATTTGAAGAAAAGCCTTTTTTTAAACGAACGATTGTATCATATATTATTCTTTTTATGTTATTTTTGTGAATTCTGCAAGAAACAATGTAGAGATATTTTTTTAGTATATTTGCAAGTAATGTATGAAAGATCTACAAACTGATTTGTAAATATATGGTACGGTTATCTAGTAGAATCCTAATCACGTGCAATTTCGACACTTTAGATAGCTTTTTAAATAAACATTTTAAATAATTTTTTTTCATGTGAAATGTGCAATATAGAAGTTATATACGTAGTGACGAATGCGGTAAACGAACTTGTTTTCAAGTGTAGAAAGAACAAAATTTTACGTTGGAGAGTTGAGCTTATTTGATAAAAAAACTTAGTTAAGATAATCTGTTTTTTATTCAAACGTTACTTTTAGATTATTTATACATTACGAATTGTAGCTCTATACAATCATCAAAACAAAGCTGTTGTTCATGAAAACTAAATCTGTTTGACTTTATTTTTAATAAAAAAAATTGGTATTGTTACGATTGAGAAAAATCTTCTTTGGACGAATAGAATAGTGTCATTCAATACAATCTTATAAATAAATTTGTTTCAAAATTTTATGGCTGTGTTCATAGCAATATAATTTAAGAAGAGAAGAAATTAATTCTAACTAAATGAATAGAACAAAAACTGTACGAATATAGAAGAATACAGTCGATCAAGCAGCTATCAGATTAATACAATATAACAATCAGATTTCGATTGATTATTTCTCATACGTTCGATTGAGAACAGATGACCCACGTACTATGTCAGAATATTGATTTTCAACTAGATGTTCACAATCAATTTTTTTTAATTTTATCGTTCCAAAATGCTTTTCATCGATTAGCCACATGAATGGATACAATCAACCATTTTCTTAGATACCATATGTACTAGATAAAGGAATTGAAAAAAAGATCTACAAGATAAAATAAAGTCATACATTCATTATGAATTAAATGATAACTAAATCTTTAAATCAGCTTCAATTAGATACTTTTATATTTTCTTGAGAAATTCCGGTTCTATTAGACCATTTGATTTATTTTACTGAGTAAATCTCATTGAATTTAATTAATAATATATTTGAATTTTTTATCAAGTACAGCAAACGTAACACTTTCTATACGATTTATATAAATGAGATTGATCACTCTTTCATATCACTTATAAAGTTTGACTTATGCTGATAAAGATCTCATTTGTGATTCAAAGTATGAAAAGATATTTAATATAATTGATACTTTTTATTGGTGAAAAAATACCTTAAATTCAGTTTCTCTCACATATTTATACATTCATGATGTTTATTCTATGTATATTATCAAATCAGGTTCTCCAAAATAAATCGGTTTATGTGAAATATTCAATAGGCTAAAGTTGACAAACTACTGTAATTATCTTTGATGACCTGATTTCATCGGTACACCATCAATTTCACTCAAGCCAATTATAGATGATTTAGGATAAATGAATGATAAAGACGTGGTGGCAACAGTTTCGAATGCGATCAAAACAAAGAAAAATGATGTATCAATGCCATCGATTGATATTATCATTCTATTATTATTGATTAAACGATACTGATATACGAGCAGACAGAAGAAACAAGGAGCTCATCATGGTCATTGATCATTCATGTCATTTTTTTTTCATTTAGAGTGAGGAAATAGCTATATCCATCATCTTCTCGTCCCTGAATTTCGCCTATAAATAAGCAGCCGTTGATCAGTACTACAGCTTGTTTTTTTTCAGAAAAATTTGCTACCGATTCATTTGTGAACTATTCATTTTTACTGATAATGCCTCCCACCACAAGTACCAATATTCACCATGTGCTCGTCAAACGACAACTAATAAGAGTTAATCTTGGCGGCCAAGAACAAAATCCTGACATCAGTGGAGATAACAACAAGGTGATGTTCGGTAGTGCAGCTGATGCAGAAATGAAACTCACACTACTTCGAAAAGCAGGTCATCAAGCTGGAAGAATTTTAGAAGGTGGCACCGATGTCGTGATTGCTCCTGTGAGATGGCTTATGCATATGCAAGAAAATTGGTATGCATATTATATTAAAATGTACACTGATCCATTGCGGAGACCGAGCCATTTTGGCTTCTCGAGATTATAGTAAATACGATTTTGAGAAAAGGTTGTACTTAGCGTAATCATTTTTCGATTGCTATTTTTTCTATCATCATCGAATGTGAGTTTCTTTAATTGCTTGAGAAGCAATCAAGATAATGATGGTTAGAAGGAACAGTTTGAAAAGAGATAGATAACGTCGTACAATCAAACATGAATGTTAAGAAGAATATCGAAAAGAAACATATGTGTATCCGCGATACACTGTATGAATAATGTTTCAATCGTTTCTTTAATGTTTAGATTGTAATTGAATTTTCATATATTCCTTCTCTACTAGACAACGAGAATAAGCCAAGATGAGCAATGAATAGCGGAATATTACATGAATTTGTATATTACACATGAAATATACAAATTCTTGGAAATGATATAAAATTTTGATGCAAATTGTTTTTACGTAGAAATGTCTAAAGACATTTTCGAAGCACGCTTATTCTATCATAAAAGTATTGAGCGACTAGTAAACACATCATGATCATTTTATTTTGGATACGCGATGCTAAATTTTTACTAAAATATTTTTATATTAATTCTTTCGGAAGTAAATTACTACGTACAATAAAAGTTAAGTGACTTATCGACAAAAAAATGTATTGATTTTCTACTGATTTAACACATCAAATTTATTATGTTCAATAGCTTGTTTTCCAACAATTTGATAAAAGACGAATCTTCTTATGATGTTCGTATATGATACAGAAATATAAATTCAACAGGAATTAGTTAAGAGCTAAGTACGACGAATCACGATGTTGATGTTCGTGACGGTGACGCTCGTGAGGTTCAAGATAATGATAATGAACGAAAGAATATGTTTCAAAATTATCATAAATGTAGAAAATTTCTCTTTTTATTGTCAAAATTATCAATTTCAATTTATAGAATACGAATAATTTGAAAAAAAAACACATGAAAATCGATTACAAAAAAGAGCTACTGAGAATTCTAGGTTTCATAACACATACTTTTATTTATGAAAGTATCAAGGATCCGAAAGTAAATGATCACCAGAAATTTATTTGTTCTTCTAATCTAGGTTATATAGAGAAAAATAACACAAATCTTCTCCAGAGTTTGATTGTTAAACGTAGAATAGATTTGAATGATTTCATATCTCGAGCGTCCACCATCTATGCCGTATTTACTTCTAAAATTACCTAACCGCTGACAGAACCCTTATATATATATTTATTTATTTATTCATGTTTTTTTTTTAATATTTATAACTTGTTCTATTGAATCTATGTACTAAGTACATTTCCCCTTATTTTTGCAGGCTAACCTACATTTTATGCGCTACTATATTAATGGTCGGTATTATGTTAATCTATTACTATATCCGACGAAAAGCCTCATCACTTGTCTTGCCGCCATTTGGAGAGTCAAGTTTATCAAAAGTGGCTATGGACGACGCTATGAGACTTAGATTGCTTCATCGTGCCATTCAAAACAACTGATAGACTACGTAGTTACTATTATATTGTGAACTCAGTTGTAAACGATTTTTGCTTTGTGCTAGTGTGTATTTTCTCATGTATTAATTAATCGTTATTATTATGCTTAATTGATTCAAGAGTTTGTCTTTGTTTCAATTACAATATTACGCGTATTTTATGAATTAGTCTGCTATAATCTTCTCCGAGATTTGTAGTTTTCAGATCTTTTTTTATTTCTTTTCTTGAACATTCATTTAAAATATCACATGATCTTATCGTGAAAAAATGGCACGGATAATCATTTTTATTGTCTAAAGTGTGTCGTCAGGGATTAGTTTTCTTAATTTTCAGTCATATCTGTTTGATTTTATTGATACCCAAAACTTTCTCATAAAAAAAAATACTTGTGTCAATCAAATTTCTATTATTTAGTGTTAGTTTTGTTAAGAACAAAACTATGAATGAACAATGTTAAGAGATCATTTATAATCTATTCGATGAGTTCTTTTGTCGAATAAACAAATCGCAATGCGTTGTTCAGATAATGTTCTTTTTCTATTCTATGTTTATAATACAAGTAGAATGAGAGTTGTTTATCAAATGCCAATCAGGTGAAGAAAAAGTGAAAAGAATAAAAAATTGAAGAGGTCAAGGTAAAAGAAAAGAAATGAGAGGTCAAACAAGAACAATAAAGATGAGAACTCGATAGAATAGATAAAAATTTCACAATAAAGCCATAGCTCCTGATACACTAGCATGACTAGTTAGAGCGAAACTGGATACAAATGGGTGAATATATAATGAAAAGTGTATGATTTTTTAATTTGAGCACGTTTTACCCTAAATTTCTCCTATATGGCATCACTGGAACGACAAGAAAGAGTCAAGTTAGAATAATCATTTAAAATATGCAATTTTTTTTTCTTTCAAGATGTTCATCAACTGTTCTCAAAGTCAGATTTCAATCACCGGAAACGGCAATGTCGTTTATTTTGATGGATTACCGCATCGATACAACAATAAATGTCGAATTTTTCGTTTTAAATTTGCCACTGAGCTCATGCTTCTAATGTTTATATGCTTTTTATTTATGCTTTGTTGTGGCTGCTGTTATTTTCGTCGTAGACAACGTCGACCACAAGAAATCATTATTACTAATGATGAGTTCTTCCACAAGAACAGCATTAATAAATGTTAATCTTATGGCCATTATGTACTGATGTTCGTCTAAAAAATCATTTTGTCATTTTTGCTTAATTGTATGATAATTCTAGTTGAATATTGTGCTAATTTTATCAAACAGATGTTCTCATAGTTTTCATAATAGCAATAGATAATAGGATTTTTATCTTGACTACACAAAATGTATACGAAACAAGCTAAGTAATTAGATAAAAACTGAAAAAAAAGGATCTATTATTTCACTAGGTAGTCTCTCATTATCGTTGCTTCAATTGAATCGCTAATCTCAAAATTATGGAAAAAATACTGGAGAGAAACTTCATATGGAAGTTGAGCCATCGAATGACTATTCATATAGTACGAAACACGAATGAAACTGCTCTTTTCATTACAATGTAGAAAAACTAATGTTGATAACAAAAGTGATAATTGCCTATCGTCGATAGTGAGCCATATAGTTATATTAAATAAAAAAATATTCAAAATTGTGGAATGTAAAATATGTTCATGCTCAGTTTCTTTTCTCGAACAGTGACTGCAGTCATATATTGTTAGCGTCGTAAGATGTCGCTCTACGACGCTAACTTGTTTTTCTTAAACTTATTCGTTTCTTTTCTTTCATTCCTTTTCATCGTAATCGATAGTTGTTATACAACAGGTTACGATGCCCCTTTTTTTGTTTCTCTCTCTCTCTCTCTCTCTCTTGCTATGTCTTGTATTTCTTCTTTTCGTTTCGTTTGTTTTATGTTTACAAGCACAAGAGTGATTTCTCTCTTTCTTTCTTTGCGTTGATTATCTTCTTTTTTGATTCTATTGTTTTTCCGTGTACTTTCCTTATTCCTATTCTTTGTCTCTCTTATTTTTCGTTTTGTTTTCTTTGATTTTCTAAAAGTTTCAGTCTCGTGTTTTGTCGTTATTGCGCAGTATCTTTATCCGTCGTCGATTCTATTTTGCTCGTTATTGTATTTGTATCAACATACATATATTAAAATAAAATCGACAACATTACAATAAATTATTATTTATTATTTATTATAAAAGTATGTATAGATCAACTTACATTATAAATAAATAAATAAGTGTAAGATAATATAGGAACATCCCAATAAACATAAAAAAAAAGATATACATCCTCGTATAAAAGAAAGTCTTACATATATCAACTTGAATCTGTTTTAAGATGAATCCGTTGGATTGCAGAGTTTCCTAGCTAGCTCATTCTTCAAAATTATAACGTCAAAAGAATCGTAAGTGTTCAAGAATCAATTATTGACTCACCAAAGGCTACTAGTTGCATTGAAAAACTAACTTCCTATATATTCTTATGCGTTAAAAAATAAATTTATAAACTATCTTAGAAAGTTCATCGTTTAACCAGATTACTTTTCATAGACTACTATTATAGTAGATCTTGTGTCATATTCAAAAATAAATTGAGTTCATGAGATAAAACTCGAGTATATGTACATATTTATAATGAATCAAAATAAACCAAAAAAAAAGAAATGTGCCAGTTGGCTGTCATCTTTAGCGATATTTTTGAACGAAGTAACTGATTGATTCTTCAGTGCGTTTAATTCAGATGAATGGAAAATGTATCGCAGTATATTTTATCACGAAGAAGTTGCCGTGCAAAATGTCACGTTTAGTCTTCCAATTTCGCTGGAGTAGTCAGAACGAATTACTAGAGAGTATTAGGCTTTAAATTTCTTATAAAAAAATACATATTTCTTTTCCGATAGGTATTTCTTGAGCATTGTATTCACTGTAAAAAAAAAGAGTAGAATAATAAACCCTTGTCCTTTCTACAAATCATGCTAAACCCTTGAAGGGTTTATGACAACGCCATAAACCCTTAAAGGGTTTATTAAACGAAGGGTATATGAAAAAAAGATGATACNTGTCGCTGTCTGTGATGGTCTGTGAAATTTCTCTGTCCCGGTCTGTGATGGTTTCTGAATTCTCTGTCGCTGTCTGTGATGGTCTGTGAAATTTCTCTGTCCCGGTCTGTGATGGTTTCTGAGGTCTCTGTCCCTGTCTGTGATGGTCTGTGAAAATTCTCTGTCACTGCCTGTGATGGTTTTTGAAGGCTCTGTCACTGTCTGTGATGGTCTCTAGAGACTTCATACACCACAATACAGATATAGACCGTGACAGAGAAGCTCCACAGACCATCACAGGCCGTGGTAGACGGATTCCAGAAAACAAGCTTTATCGTGTTTCACATTTTTATCCCACAGGGATTGCGCTAACAGCTTTTTCAGTTAATTTCACTCTGCATGAGAATCTAAAGCAGCGTTATTCGGTCCACATCGCAAATGTTATACGATCGTTTACCACCTCTCTGGCTAATCTAATAAAATCCTTTCATTAGAGGGTCAGCGACGCTAACGCAGCGTTACTTGTATTTTAATAGTAAATAATAGTAGAACATAGTACAAGATAGTACATACCCACCTATCCTGAGTTGTTCAGGTTTATAATTTTCGATAGTACAAAATGTAGTTGTATTTGCCCATCTCTGATGTTTATATTTCTGTGCTTTGTAGATCTGACTTCTGAACTTTAAATTGCTTTTATTTTGAACTGATTTATAATTATGAAGTTTAAAAACACTCAGATTTTCTCTTGTAACACATATTTTGATTTCATTCAGAGATGTTCCCTTTGATAGTCTCATTTACATATCTGGTCACATCACATTTCATCGCCTTTTTGTCTAGAGACGAGTGAATCGGAATTCGATGAGCGTTACTTGTTACTTAATAACAGTTCATGTTTATAAATTGTCTACACTCTTAATAAAATCGTTTTCTTGGGAACCCACAAAAAAGGTTTCCGGGGTATTTTATGCCCAAAAGGGTATCCGGACTGATCTTGGAAACCTTTAAAGCGTTTCGGATAGTGACAAATCCGGAAACGCTTCGAGTTTCCGAAAAAAATTATCCGTTTCTAAAAATCGGGAAACCCTATTACTTTTTCCGAAAACCCGAAGCGCTTCCGGATTTGTAACTATCCAAAACGCTTTAAAGGTTTCTGAAGTTCAGAAACTCTTTTTTTTCTCCAAACAATCTCTTAAAGGTTTCCAAGATCAGTCCGGATACCCTTTTGGGCATAAAATGCCCCGGAAACCTTTTTTGTGGGTTTCCAAGAAAACGATTTTTATTTAGAGTGTAATAGTGGTTGTTTCTTATTTGAAATGCTAGTGGTGTTAATTTAGAGAGTTTTTCTTTTCTAATATATAAAACAACTTTATAATGTTATAACTATTAAGAAAAGAAATAAATAATCACATTCATCCTCAACATCATGACTAAAAATTGAACCTAATGAATATGTTATAAAATTCACATAACGTTTTTGGTTTCATATATGCCTCCAGGACAGGCCAAGCTCGATCGTGCCAGGCCGGGAAAAAGTGGCCTGTTGGCATCTCTGATCCAGAAGGTTTTACCAAGGGGGAAAAAGCTGATTGTCTGATTTCCTAGATTGCCATTTGATTGTCTGTGATTTTAAGTAGTTTTTAATACTTAGAAATAGGGGAAACGGCTTTTTTCTGAGTCACTTCAAACATTCATCTCTCAATATGACGAAAGTAATTTATTTTAACAATAAAATTCGTAATTAGTCTAGTGAAACTAGTACTGGCGTGGCTACAGAAGCAATGGCAACTTGTTGAGAGGAAAATATGAAAAACAGTTAAAATCTGCTTTAGCCTATTGAAATATTTTTTCAGAAATATATTTTATATAATAGTCCACCATGGTAAATCTTGGATTGAGCAAACAAACAACAATTTACTCTGCTTATTGGACATCACACCTTTCAAACAATCCTATGGCAAAGTCGTTCGGCTTGTCATTTGAAAGCAGCCGTACGGGTGTTTGTTTGAGCAAAATTTTTCACTAGAGTCTGAACAGCTGTAAATTCATGCCAGTTGAATTTAACCAAGCACTTAAATACAGCTATGTATCGAATTCATTTGGAGCAGAAATTGTTAAGTGAAATCCGAGCTGACCCAGGTTGATCAAAACGGACTCGTTTATGGTATGTTTATCGACGGTAAACGATGTCAAAACGGTTTATTTACGGCAGTAAATAGGCCGTATTTGCCCGTAATACCTGGCACAGTAATATGGCATCGTAAACGGGACTGAATTTTCATAGTTTACGGCTGTTTGTGCTGCGTACTCTCATGATCATACGGTCCGTATTACTGCGCCAGATATTACGGCAAACTTTTGCCCGGAAAATAGTCGTAAAGTAACCGTAAACGGCCCTATACGGACCGTACTATTCGAACTGGGGAGCTCAATAAGAAATATTAGAAATTAGTTTAATTCAAAAAAATCTATTTATATGTAGCTTTTTCAGTTAAAACAGTCACTTCTTCAAAAGCTAATTGTGATACCCAATAGTCGGGTGACAGTTCAAATCCTTTGAATATTCCCTTAAGTGCTAAGTTTCAACAAATTTTCATAGCTGAAGACTGATGAACCTTAATGCTACTGAAAGTATATTATATTCTATTTTCAATAATAAAAACTCTAAAAACGTTACTTATCAATCCACGGAACTTAAACAAGGTTTGGCGCGAAAGTACAAATCCTAGAGGTTTAGTAAAAAGCCTTTTAAGGTTTTGCACAGAACCTTACAAGGTTCTTCTGTCGGGCACACGGGAAGAAACGTTTTTTTTAGAATATAAGCTTTAGCTTCTCAGTTTTTAAGACAGTGAAAAGTTTAAATTATACTAATTCACGATTATGGTTTTGAAGAAAGCAAACAAATAGGTTTTTATAAAATCGGCAATTATAACTCAAGAGTTCAATCTAATGTTAAGTATGACACTACATCTAATATCATCTGATCAATTATATGAATGTCAAACTATTTTGCAAACGACTATTGCATACTTTTTGAAAGATAATAGGGCAACGCATACTGGTCTTTTATAGAAATAACTGTTATTGAACTGTAATGCCCCATAGATCTATCAACTCAACCTTCGTTTTAAAAGATTATTCCCACGAATTTCTATTCAATGTGAAAAAAATCAGATGTTTAATGAAATATGAAAGAGAAAAAACCAACATATCTCTTTTCATAAGAACACCTTTTTTTATCTATGACACTTGTAGTATCATATTTACAACGTACAATGATACCGTTCAGATTGCTATTCAATTCAACTTGAAAGTCGCTACCTTGATTGAAATTGTTATTGAAGAAAGAAAGTCTAACCTTATTATATCTAAGCCATTCAATAATACTATTTGAAATTCGAGTTTTTATTTCATCTGTAAGAACATGTGTTGCCGGTGTTGAAACCGCTCGGTACAAATTAGGCGAAGTATTAGACGTAGACAGAAGAATCGAAGAATTACCTAGAATTACGGCAGCTGGTGATAAATAGTTCGAGATGATGTTGGGTGTCGATGAAAAAGAAGAAATCACAATTGATAAACAATCTAAACAGCGTCAAAATAAGCTCTTGTTTGTTTTTAAATAGTTAGGTGAGAATCATAATCGACGATTGTATGCCTGGAAGAAGATAAATGGAACCGTTGCTCAATGTAATGGACATGTTATTTTTTAAGATCAATAAGTTCATCTGATTCAATATGAAGGATAGCAGTTAGATCTCTTCAACTAAGAAACGAATCAGCAATGTTGAATTCTTGAAAAGATAGCAGTTCACCAACTTTTTTCCTACAAGTTGCTGAATAAAATCATAAAAATCTTTCATCACAAAGATTCATAATATTGAATGGAAGAAATTTTGTGTTTATATTTGAATTTTTTGATAGAGAAATATGAAGAAAACCAAAATGTACAACTATTAGACTGCCCCTTAACTAATGAATAAATGGAAATGAAGTTAAACGAATACAGAGAATCATTTTTCTCCTATCTTCAACATGCACACACAATAAGAGAATGATATTCAGGTGATTTTTCAACTGTTTACAGTTCTACGTATTTGCTCTATGTTAATAACTTGTATGTAGATAAATATCGACTCAGCGAAAAATTTTTCTAGTGATAAGACGCGTCTGCTCTTGTCTATTCTGTGCTGCTTTTCCGCTTCTTTTATTTTTCTTCATTGTCACTGAATCTAAAGTTGTAACTTTCGATTCAAGTGACAAATGTCCTCATCTAGTGGACATTCACTTAATATATCTGAACAACAGAAAACAGTGTATATGTCGGAGGATAATCCGGGTCCGATTACAATGTCAAATAATACTACTTGTATTACTAATCATGAAGTATCGAAAGAACAACAAATTGTTTATGGTACAGCTCCAGTGTTATATCAACCGTACAGAATGCCTCAAGCTTATGGGTGTGCTCAACCTACAGCAAACAGTCAAATTGTTAATCAATATTCTCCAAGTCATATAGTAAATCAACAACAATATTATCAACAACAAGTACCATTAAATAATAACGCTCCATCTGCTTATGTGCAACAAGCGATGATACATTCCAACATGTATCCACAACAAGCTCCAGTGTCTTCTTATCATCCGGGTGTTAATACCAATGTTCTGTTTTCGTCATCAATGACTAATCCTAATATTTCATCAACACCAATATCGGCTAATACCAAGAGAGGTCGTAATGATACGAGTGGTGTTTCGGAATCTAATGGGCAAGAAAGACCGCAACATTATCAAACAACTCGTATTTCGAATGCTCGTAATACACCTTACAAGCGTCACCGTGGATTTAATCAGCAGCAAAAAGAAAGTTGGCAACAAAATCAGTACACTCATGGTAGGGAAGAACAAAGTACTTATGATATTACAGCAGGAAGAAACATCGCAGAATTAACATACGACAATCAACAACCTTCAATGGCAGCTCTTCGATATGCTACATCACGTTTTCCGTTCTCACCGTTCTCGATAATCTTCTCGCAACAAGCTCGTGAAAAAATCGTCATTGACGATCTAATTAAACATGCAAACGATAATTGTCATTTTGAGTTGAAAACTGTTGCCTATCGACGTGGTCGCTCGGAAAATAATGAGTGTCGAATTCTTATTTTCGTCGAGAACAGCGAATCTTTTTCGTTCCTATACGAACGTAATAGCTGGCCTACAACACTTGCCGGACAAGAATTTACAACAAAAAGTCCATCAATTCCTCCACAGCTATCGTTGGTTATTCCTGCTGTCTCATTACAAATTGAATGGGAGGATTTCGTACATGAACTAAAAGAAAAATTCCCGGGCATAGCTGACATTATACGTTTAAAAAATAAAGCACAACAACCAGTACGAGCAGTTAAACTAGAATTCTTATCGGCGAAAGTTCGCAACGAAATATTAGATGCTAATGAAATCTCGGTCATGCATTTGAAACTAAAAGTGGTCGAGTTTTTTACACATGCTAATGTATTGATTTGCTCAAATTGTTACGGAATAGGACATTTAAGAAAGAATTGTCCTCAGAAGAATGAATCAACATGTAAAACCTGTGGAGAAAAATATGTAAACTTAAAGGATCATCAATGTTCTGGCGTATTAAAATGTGTTCATTGTGGTGGACCACACATTTCAAACGATGCAAAATGTAAAGTAGTAAAGGACTATCGAGTTGCTCTCACTCGTAATCTTCTTTCAAAATTAGATCCAGCAAACACAGAAAATCCTAGAAATGGTCTTATTCATAGCGGTATTATCTCGTCTGCTAGGACAACTAATGGTGAATCTTCCGCCAACATGGTTAAAACGATGTCATCAAATGCAAATGAAGTAGTCTTAAAAAAACTAGATAGTGTCTTAACAAAAGTGGAAGAAGAATCCAATATAACCCGTCAATCTTTAGAAGAATTTAAACAAGAAATAAGAAACAGCTACAATGAAACGAAACAACAAGTTATAGTATTAGAAGAAAAGGTGAAGGAAATGGAGAAGAAAATTGTGGATTTCTCTGGACGGATTGGTGAGATCATTCAGAACATATGTACAACTTTATTAGACCCTCCAAATTCACAAGGACAACAATGGAAATCGTATTGGCAAGAACAAATTAAAATATTGATTGAAGCCAGGGCATCGTTATCAAAAACATCGCTATGATTAATCCAACTACTGATAATTATAAATATGTTAATCTTCATTATAAACATAACATAAAATTTTCTCGCTTTCTAGATCAAGCTAAAACTACGCTTTCTTCAAATGATTTTTGCTTACTTAAGGATATTATCGATGAGTGGCATGCGGCTTCTTCTCTCAATTTATTGGAACTCAAATGGAAACAAAATCAAAGAAAAAATGAACGACACGGATATTTCTCTTCTTCTTTAAATATTCTTTGCTTCAACGTTCGTGGTCTCGATCTACGCTGGGGAGAAGTCTGTCTATTGGTCAAACAACATCTTTCCGATATCATAGTCTTAGGCGAAGTAGGACGTGTTGATATCGCCCTAATAAATGCTGCACTATCTAACCATAATGTATTTTATCAATGTGGTGAAAATGCACATGGTGGTGTGCTTGTCATGGTATGTAAAGATATTTCAGCCGTTAGAGTATCCTGTTCATTACCAAACATATGTGCACTCGATCTTCAATTCGACCAGACAATTAGACTAATAGCTATGTATGCTCCAGAGAGTAAATCATGGAATTGGTCCGACCTCACTCCATTAGTTACCAACTGTTGTATGATTCTGGGTGATTTTAATATTGATATTGAACAAGATGGTGAAAAAGTTGATAGACTTCTCGAGTGGATGGATTCATGTTGCCTTGGGCCGGTAGTTCCTGACTCCAATACTTCACTTCGTTCGGATCGAACTATTGATTATGCTGCTACAATCGGTGTGGATCTAACAATTCAAGCTTATGAAGGTGAGACCACTAGTGATCATAAACCTCTTTTAGGTGTACTGGTTGGGGACAAAACCTCCACAGACGAAGGATCCAGAACAATATGGCCGGTTTTTACTCTAATGTTATCTTACATATTTGATTATTGGGAAAAAGAATGGAACACAGAGTCGCATGATATAATTTATGAGAGGTTTATCTCTTTTCTTATATTACTCAAGACCAGATGTCAACAACATTTTTCGCTTAATCATGCTAGACCATCTATTCCACCGAACCTGGTGAAACTACTTCCTCAGAGCCGCTCGTTATCGTTCAAAGCTAAGCGAAAAGGTGATATTGAACTACGAAAAGAGGCTCATCGTCTACGAAATTTTGCACGCTTCGAGTTAAAAAAACTTCCAAAAGGAACAATTAGCCAAACAGTTAAAAGAAAGGCATCTTCCAGGTGAAACATCTCGGTTATTTTGGAGTAAAACAAAAAAACATTTTCGTCAAGTATCGTCATCATTGAGAGGATTCTTGTCTCCAAGTGGTGAAATTATAAAAGACCCGCAAATTATGGCCAATATGGCGGCTGATCATTATGAAGGATTATTTGAAGCACCCGTAGTGATGCGTCCACACCCGTATGTCGATGCTCCTCTAGTTCAATGGGAAAATGCAGCTGATCTGATACCGATGGTTACATATCCAGAAATATTAAATATTTTACGTTCAAGAAAGAAAAAACAGTCTCTTGACATTCATGGACTTTCACCATTTATACTAGATAAAATACCTCAAAACTATTGGCATCTTCTGGTAAAATTATACAACTATTCTTTTACTGAAGGATACATTCTAAAGAAATTTAAAGAAGTTAGAATGATACTACTAGCAAAGAAAAATGCGGCGTGCACTCCGGATCAAACTAGACCAATCTCGCTGCTCGACTCTTTTCTGAAAGTACAAGAGAAATTATTTCTTAATCGATTCAAAAAAATCTTAAACGACCGTGGTATTTTACCAGATAATCAATCGGGATTTCGCGCTGGATTTAGATTACAAACACGTGTACTGCTGCTCATCGAACAGATATCATCATACATGTCAAACAGTTCTCCAACTTCGACTGTCTTTGTAGATTTTAAATCGGCGTTCGATCAGTTATGGTTCGAAGGATGTCTTGGGAAGCTTACAAGGATGGAAATTCCGACTGCCTTTGTCAATTGGATTCGAGCTTGGCTTAGTGATCGTAAAGCAGTGATTGAAGTGCAGGGCAATCCTTCAAGATGGATCAATATTAATCGTGGTGGTCCCCAATGCTCTAGTGTTACACCGACGTTATTTATAACATATCACAGAGATATGGCTGATTTTATACCAGGTGCAATGTCCTTCGTCTTTGCTGATGATTTGGCAGCAGTTATAGCCGGTCAAATAGGAATCAGATTTACAGATCAATGCATAGATTTGGAACGCCGCTTACACACCTTTTTTGAGCAACTCGAATTCTATGCAATACTAGATATACAACCGATTAATTATTCTAAAGCACAAGTCATGTTCTCAGCAAGAGCGGTTTGCTATCCGAATCCCCTACCTCAAGTGCATTGTGGTGACCACAAAGTGGAATGGATCCCCTCATTTAAGTACTTGGGTTACTGACTTTCGACGAAGCTAGGTTGGGGACATATCATCAACAAGACGAAACTTATCGTTCGTCAACGAACTGCTCTAGTAAACTCCTTCAGAATAAGTGGCACATCATCTATACATCTCAGACGTATTCTATTTTCTACTTTCGTCCTACCATACTTCACATAGCTATTTGGGTTATTCCCATTATTTACTGAACTACAGCGCACAAGTCTTAATCATTTGTATTTCACACTTTTAAAACGCGCATATCATTGTCACTGTTGGGAGGATTTAATATTTTCATCGATGTATAATGAAAAACATCTAGATGATTATTGTTATGCATACTGGGAAAAATATTTAAAGGCTCTGGGGAAGTCCAAAGATGGTTACTTATTATGGGAACAATCGGATCTTAACGATTATAGATCAAAATGGCAAGAGAGTGACAGTTCGATCCGTTGTCTTAGAAGA